TTGTCCTGGGGACCACTCAGGTGTCCTGTGTGCTTTTCTAGACCACACACCATGGATTGAAGTTCTGACAAGATGTCCTGAGCTTTTCTTTTTGTCTTCTGTGCTCCTTTCATCTGTTAGAACTGAGGGTTGGGAGCACTGGGACCAGAGCGTGTCAGTTGTTGTAAGCTGACACCTGCAGAAGAGAACTGACTCATTAGTGAGGGTCTTGCTTTCCACAGACCCTTCTCACAGGTCTCTCTCTGATCTTCACAGTCATTGGTTAATATGGAAGGTGAAAACAAGCTCGTGGCAACATTCAAAAATATCAAGTCTGTGACTGAACTCAATGGGGACACACTGACCAGCGTAAGTGGGCGCTCTGAGCTTGTGATTGGGAGGGGGAGGTGAAGGGTAAGGAGCAGCTGCACCCCTCACCCGTGCCTCACTTTCCTCCACTGAGCCCCTAATTCTTCACCTCTCTGTATCTTCTACTACTTCACTGAGGTTCCCTTATGTCCCAGGAAGTTTACACAACATCTCTGAGCTTCCCAACAGCAGTTTTCAAAAGGGGAGACTGAGGCAACAAACAAGCATGAAATGGCAGAGACAGGGTCAGGACTGAGTTGGGTCAGTCTCTCTGGGCTGCCATCCACAGCTGTTCCAAGGGGAAGCAACTCACGTCACAAATGGTGTAGATTTGTGCACATAGGTGTGTTCTAAAAATGTGGTGAATGTTTGCATTTTTAAAAAATATATTACAGTAGGATACATTGCTATGATCCTCCTTTGAAATCCTCACCTCCTTCAGACAGACTTCAGTGCTTGGCTATTGGCCATATCCTAACCCAATTGTGAAGAAATCTGCAGAGTTTCTTCTGAAGTTTGTCTGCCTTGTTCTTCTTTGCTCCAAAAGTTTGCTTTAGGGAGTCACAGAAGGCAGAAGGCAGCCCAAGGAGGCTGTGGTCACCAGGTTCACGTGGGAACATCTCTCAGGCAATGACAGTGTGAGCATCAACCATGAAATGC